ATTTTTTATTTTTTCGTTTGTGTTGCATAACTGACAAAAGGAAAAAAATAGCCTCTAGTTAGTAGACATTTTTGTGGAGAGAATGCATTTTTTTGGTTGATGTGATGGGGAATATGTGGTTGAAAAAGAAAAAAAAAAGTTATTGATGTGATTGGAATATTATTTTACTGAAAAATGTGTGGTTGAAAATAAGTAGAAAAATGAAAATGAAAATTTTAATGTGTACCAAACAGGGGCTTAATGTGCCAACCATTGGGAGATTTAATTGAAATTTGAACGTTTTCCATTTTGGTTCGTATTAGGGCACGTAGATTTCTGGAGAACAATGAACGGGCAACTTAGGAAAATGGGAAGCATTGCCCACTCACATCCATAAAAGGCTAGGTTAAGTCTGATTCCAATTCAGGTTTTGAATACTTACATAAGAATATCTCTAAAAGATTTTCTAATTTTAAATAATATATTCTACAACTTAGAGAATATCTATAAATTTAAAGAATAAAATTGTTTAAGTATTTCAATGTGCTCTTTATATTTGACGCTTAATTTTACTACTCTAAAAAAAATTATTGTTTTTCCTTATTTTTTATTTTACTAGCTTTTCCTCTAAATTGTTTTATTTTTTTCTAATTGAAAATTGAAATAATTTGAATGCATTTAATTATAGAGAGCGAAAAAATATTTGACAGTATTATTTTTCCTTATATTACTCATACATATATATTGTACCATAGGATAGGTTGGACAAAACGTGACACTATTAATTAAAGAAGTTAAAAATATAGTCAGTTAAAAATGTACTCCAACTTGATATTTTCTAAGAGCATATTCAATAGCTTATGCCAAATCGGTGCGACTTTCACACTAAATTGGTGCAACTTTTACACCATTTTGCAAAGAGTACATGTAGCGTGATTGTTTGTAAAGAATAATATTATGTGTACATCCTTCCTTGCCACTTGGACGATATTTCCTCTTATGTGGAAGAAATGTCTGCAATGATGTGATGGATGGATTCAAAATCAAGAGGACGGATGTTGCCACGTAAAAATGTGTAAATGAAAGTGTGAGGAAAAGAGTACATGTAGCGTGATTGTTTTGCAAAATCATATTCAATGGTTACATCAAATATTACACCAAATGAATTGTGTTTCCTTTATTTTCTTATTTTTTATTTCTCATTTCAAAAATTATTTAAATAAATATTATATTATTACTAAAATTATTAGATTAAATATTATATTTAATGAACTAAAATATTGCATTTATTAATAATAATAAATTAGAAAAAGCATTACACTTAATACTCTAATTTAAAAATTACATTCAATACATAAAAAAGTTACATAAAATAAAAATCAGGACTAATTTTGTCTTCTAATTCTCAAAATTATTATATTCACCCCACAAATGATCAATTAATGGGAGTATTAAATTATTGTTTTAGTTTAATGCAACTTTTAGTTTTAATGATTAATTTTATTCTAATGTATTCAATAATTATTATTTATTACTCGATTAGAATTTACAAATAAATTTTAAACACAAATTAAAATAAGGTACCACTATTTTCATCCACGTTTTTTATATATCTATCACACTCCAAATCCATCCCCGTTAAGATTTTAAAATTTAAGAAAATATTATTTCATTGAGGTCATATTTCAATATTGTCCTTATTAAATCTGTTCATTTAAATACAATATATATCCACATCACTTCTATGTATCTATCTCACTCTAAATCTATCCATATTTCAATCATCCTCGTTATCGGTCCTTCACCAAAACAAATTTCCCCAAAATATCACGTGCCTTCATCCTTTGCATTTCTTTTGCTGCAGTGAAGAAGAAGTATCAAGATTCAGAGGATTGTCATCGCCCCTCTTCATGCTCTTTTACATGTTGGTTCTTTTTTCTTCAATTATTGTCCATTACAAAACATATTAGGAATCTGATTATCTTACTAAAGCTTGGAATAAATTAACTTCCATTCCCAGAATTGGCAAAAGAAAATCAAAGAACTGGAAACGAGAAGAAAACTATAGCTGAAAATAAGTGATTATAAAAGTACAGAGAGAGAGAGAGAGTGCAAACCTGTCGTGGGGAACGTAAATTGGACCAAAAGTGTCTCTTTCCTCCCTGAACGATGATGAATACCTTCGGAAGCTTGCTGCAGTAGAGCGCAGTGACTCGGCTAGAAACGACATCATCTTCGATCCACTGGATACTTGATGCTACGCTATAAACACCGCCATTGAAGGAACCAATGGAGATCTTCGGGCGCATCAGAAAATTAAAATCAAATAATGTTTATGATATGTGAGTTTGATTTTTATAATCTGAGTAGCACAATCATTTATAAGTTAAACTATGTATTTCATATTTATTCGATGTGAAATTTTATCCCTTAACAGTTTTTTCACGAATTTGGTGCACCATTCGTCCATTGCAGATGTCCTAATGCACATTCAAGGTTGAGCTCTAAGATTTGAACAGTTGATAGTTGCTTATCAAAATACCAAATGCTATATTTTTAGTTAGACGATATGAAAGGGAAAAAAAAGTCCTAGGACCTAGGTGACCTTCAATCCAGTCTAGGAATAAAGGCGCCATGAGCTGGTGATTCGATGGTTACAATCATGCTAAACTTCACGCTTTTCACTCCGAATAAGTCACGCTAATAGACACTTTATAACCCGAGCAAGCATCAACTGAGCCCACTACTCAAAACCTCTTGCTCTTCTTTACATTCATTTATATATATACACACAATGACACAAAGAAATGCTATATAAACACCATAGCCTGCTATAAATATGGCTGGATGGGTTCCAATGGAGGTTGGCACGCCTGGCACTGTAGGATCGCTGCTGAAGAGGGAGATGGAATATTTCAAAAGACTCGAGGTAGAACGATTTGAAATGAGTTGCCTAAAGTCTGAGAGGCACAATGGAGAGAAAGGTTCTTGTAGAGGCAATTCGTGGCCTGGTTTCAAGTTCTTCCCTTTCAATTGGAGAAGGAAGAAGAGAAGAAATAGTGGAATCCGGCGGAGCTTCGTGGATGACGGAGAAATAAGTGAAATTCCGGGGTTCAGTTACAGAAATCTCAAAGCTGATTCTAAGAGATTTGAAGGTCTAAATGAGTAAATTCTTATTAAAAAAAAAAAACACTCTTCTGACCATGGTCTGGAGATATTGTTCCAGTAAACTCATTGCAGTAAATACCAGAATTTGATAGGGAATATTGTTTCTTGTTTCTATCAGCATCTCTACCATCTTATTTTATATTTTTATGCCTTCTAATATATTATTTACAACCATCAGAGGCTGATTCTTAATTACTCTTCATCTCCGTTTCCTTCCTTCAACTGTGTTTATGAGTTCTACGCATTCAACTTCTTGTGGAGTAATTCCAGTCATTATGATCCAGGAAGAAGAAAAAAAAATGCACGTGTTAAGGAAGGAAAAATTGTTACGGATGGTAATGGGAATTGAACCCGACGTGAATCGAACACGCAACCTTCTGATCTGGAGTCAGACGCGCTACCATTGCGCCACGGATCCGTTTGAGTAACGTATAAATATAAATCTATCTATATTGTATGTAGATCAAAACCTTTCGTTTTTAATGCGTATTGACCGTCTAATCAATATTACACTTTATGAATAGGGTCATTGTGATTTGTAACTCAATTTAATTCCTTAATCCTAAATTGTGGGGCTGAACAACGAAATCGTTAAATTATAAAATCAAATCGAAATCACTTTTTTAAAATCATTGATTTGGATCCATGTGAATTCGCCAACATTTTGATTTTGAATCAAGCCAAATCGCTTTGAAGTGATTTTGTTTAAATTTTAATCTTTGCACACTGTTTCAAACCGTTATATCCTTTATAAAAAAAATCTAAAAATAAATTAATTTAAATTTTGTCACACCTAATTAAAATTAAACACGTCCCAATTGAAAACATACATTCGTATAATATATAACACAATTGAACTCAATATCTAAATAAACAATTATTCATCCTAATTATTACTTAAATTATACACAAATATACATCAGTCATCACAATTATGAATACAAAACCCTCAAATTGCGTGAAGTATTGAACAACTACTACTGAACCATATCCATCGAACGTCCATTAATTCAAACTCATACTTTTTTTTTTCTTCTGCTAAAAAATTTCTCGAATTTCATCAAAAATTTATTATTTTTTGGTAATTATTTGTTGTATTTTATTTGTGTTGTGTTCTAATTCGTGTTGAGCTCTTTTAAATTTTTAACAAAAAGTAATTTTTGTTTATTTGAGTCTCAACTTTCTAATCAAGTCACTAAATTAATTATTTATATTTTAACTTAGTTTTTTTATTATTATTTTATCCTTAATTTCTAGAATTTAGAAATCTATTTGATAGATTATTTAAATGATTGTTTTGAAGATTTGACCAATGAACATTTTGATATCATTCACTCGGATTTCTTTCGTTTCATTAATTTTGTTCGGATGATATTTTATAATCCATTGATGACATGGGTTACTTTGGTAGAAATTGAATACAAATAAATAAAGATAGTCCCCGTAAATTGTTAATGAGATGTTAGCTATTCAAATATTCACAACTATTTCTGAGTTTGCATTCGTTACTAGTAATCGAATTCTTGATTCCTTTAGGAGCGCAAATATGGTTGATGCGGTGATTTGCCCTAGAAACTAGTTGCATAATAATAAGGAACCTATAGTGATTCCTCAATATTTAGATGTGGTGAAGTACTAGATGATTCACAAAAAGCTATCCGAGGTATTATAGTATTTGATCTTTCTATTCAATTTCTTTTATTAGTCATTTTATACCATTTAACTTTGATCAATGAATTCACGCAATATATTCTTATCTTTATCGAGAAAATGAATCACGTATTACAATTGCAGATTTTGCGACAATTAGTATCGAATTGGAGTTCAAATATTTCAATCACATTGTTGAATTATAATTATTAGAATTATAGAACTTTGGTTTGTAATATTTTTAATATTACTATTTATGTTTTGACATGAAATTTTAATTAATATTTATGATTTAACTTATTCGGTGTATTTTTTTTGTTAAACTATGATTTTAAATCGAACCAAACTGAAAAAAGTGATTTGAAATCGTTTGGTTTAAAAATTGAAATGGTTTGATTTGATTTGAAACTTTTTCAAATCGTTTTAAGTGGTTTGATTTGAAAATTTGTCACAAACAGTCAAACAATGTTCATCCCTACTAAATAGGCATAAACTTTTATTATGGATACTTAAATGAATAAATGAATTTGAAAATAAAAATTTGATCATTTATAAATGAATTCATTTATTTTTTCTCTTCTACACATTCTCACACACACATTGTTGATTCATTTATAAATGATCAATCTTTATTTGCAATTGCATATTCAGTGAATTCATAAGTGTCATTACACTTTTCAAACCAAGACTAAAGTTTGACATAGCAAAACCTTATTTGTTTCGACCCTAATCACCGGAAACTCACCCAATTAAAAAGTAGTAAATTTATTAGTTACATTGTATAATTAATGTTATCTAATTCAACTTGAGTCACACCTCATTAGTCATTGGAACTTATTTAACCTAATAAATATACTATAATAAGGTCCTGTTTGGGAGAGATTNAATTTTCATTTTCAACCACACGTTTTTCAATAGAATAATATTTTCATCACATCAATAATTTTTTTTCTTTTTCAACCACACATTTCCCATCATATCATTATTCAAAATCAATTCTTCCCCCAAAAATCCCTCCCAAACAAATTCTAAATATTATAAATTAAAAGAAAAAATTGCAGTTGGAATCTCATATATTTCGAAACGATGCAAATAGTTTCAAACTCATAACCCTTGTTTGACACTTATTTTATGGAAGAATTTGATTTAGAATAGTGATTGATGGAAGAATGTGTGGTTAAAAAGTAAAGAAATTTTTTTGGTTTATGTGTAATATTATTTTATTGATAGAATGTGTGGTTGGAATGAAGAAAGAAAAAAAAATGAGGAAAAAAATGGATGTCAAACAAGGGGTAAATTGTAACAGATACGTCCCAAATTTTTTTTAAATGCGTCGTGAAATTCTAAATGGTTTTCGTCGAAAAATTTCATTAACTGACCAGCATTCAAGTGTTTGACCTTAATTTAATCAATTTTAAAAGGACAAAATGATCATATAATTTTAAGTAACTAAATCAAGGGAAATTTGCATCAAATGACCCAAAACTTTCAAATATATGCAGCACGGTCCCAAACCTTTAGTAAATGTCATCCAACCTCAACCCTTAAACTCTAATCCATCCCAGCCCGCTCATGGAGCAAACCTTCATTGCCTTGGTGAGCCTCACAATAGCCACTGTCACGCATCTCATTTTCTCCACCTTTGCTTACCCCATTTTTCTCATGGGATCAATTCCACTTCCTCCTTCTAACAAGAACTTTTAAAGAACTAGAAAATGAAAATAGATAATTTCTCTTTAAAAACAACTGTAACAACGATGGTATCCCCACCTACTAACGAGTGGGGTTACATAGGTTATGGTTTAGCCGTTAGGTTGGGTAGATTAGGAAAGATGAACGTTTATTTGACGAAACAACACATTTTCAGATAGAAAATCGTTAGATGTCATTTTGATGCATATCTATTAAATATTTGAGATCGTAATGTATATATTTTGAAAGATTTGGGATCTATGATCCAAAGTTCCCTTATTTTAATTAAAAATGTTAAAAGATCATTTTACTCTTTTAAAACTTATCAAAATATAGTCAAACATTTGAATTTTGTTCAACTAACAAAATTTTTGTATGAATACCGTCCATGAGTTTCTATGGCATATTTTTAAAATGTCTTAAACGAATCTATTACGATTTACATGCTTGGTTCTATCCACATTGTTTTGAAAAGTTCAAAATTCTCATTGCAAATTTTCCTAAATTAAATTAAGCAAACAATTTCTTCACAATTTTATAAACCAAAATTTATTTTTCCTTCTTAAGTTAATTTGTCTCGATACAAAGAAAGTGCCTCTGCATTTGTGGTCAATAAGAGTATCTCCAGCAGCATCTCTTTTTTTAAAAAACATATTCTATCATTTAGAGAGCATATATAAATTTAGAGAGTTAAAATAACATTTAATTTTACTACTCCAAAAAAATATTTATTATTTTTCTTTATCTTTTATTTTAACTAACTTTTCTTTAGATTATTTTATTGTTTTCCTACATTGAAAATTGAAACACTTTGAATGCAATTAATTATAATGAGTGAGTTTGAACCCACTCTC